AGAAGCTTTACAGTACAGTAGGTGCCAATTTCAAAATGGGTGCGAATCATTGTTATGTACCTTAAAAGTTTGAACGCATAATAATATTGGAAAATCACATCCATTGGGCCAATTGTAACGCAGGACCGTCGATATACTCAATGGTGCAACAGGTCGATTTAATCTGACCTTCACGGCCCCTTTTCTCACTTGGCTATTTTTAGTAATAGCTCGACTTCAGCACCACTTGGCAGCACGTTTTTGCAATAGTATTGCATACATATTTAAAACATTAGCCAAATCGGATCATAAATAAGATTTTTAGTAATAACTCAATTACAGCGCCAACTGTCGGATTAAATTGTGAAACTAAACCATCCAGAGACCCACTCAAATACACAAAAAGTGTCGTTAAAATCCGTACAACCATTTAGGAGGATTTCTCTCACAAACACACCTACAGAAGAATAAAAAAATTCATTAAAAGATAGCTAAAGGTCGGTAGGTTTGTAGGCCTCACACCCCTTTTCAAATAGCCCAAATTTTCTCCATGAGTATGGGCTTGATTTCAAATATATACATATCTCCATACGAAGTTCCAGTACTGTACCATGAATACTTTTAGAGATATGCAGTATAAAAATTCGATTTATATGGGAGGAGCCACGCCCCCCTTTCCAACAGCTGCCCTCTTTCTTCCTGAGTATGCGATTGATTTCGTATATCTCCACACCAAGTTCCAGAACTCTACCATGAACACTTCCAAAGATAGGCAGTATGAAAAATTCGGTTTGTATGGAAGATGCCACGCCCCCTTTTCCAATAGTTCCAATTTTTCTCCAAGAGTATGCGATTTATTTCGTACATCTCCATACAAAACTCTAGAACTCTACCAAAAAATTTCCAGAGATAAGCAGTATGAAAAATTCGGTTTGTATGGGAGATGTCACACCCTTTTTTACAATAGCTAAAATTTGTCTCCAAGGGTATGCGATTGATTTCGTATATCTCCATACCAATTTCCAAACCTCTACCATGCACACTTTCAGAGATATGTAGCATGAGAAATTCGGTTTGTATGGGAAGTGCCACGCCCCCTTTACATATAGATTTTTTCAGCCTAAAACCATCCTTGGGACACGTGCGGCAGGTGGCAGTTTCAAAAAAATCGGTTCAGCCGCTCTCGAGCCTTACGAATACTAACAAACGGCTTTCTAAATATAAATTAGTTGAGATATATTATATATTATAATTATATTTTGACAGTATCCGTTCTTTCTGATTGGCGCAAAAAAATCTTGCCTAGTGACGAATTCGCCCCTTGATATGGTCGTTACTTAAAGCTATTTATATTCGAAATTGCATGAAAATTGGAAAACAGGAATCTATAAGCTTATCCAGGCAAAAAGCTACCTATGTACCGAATTTTAAGCAAATCGGACCATAAATACGATTTCTTCGAACAGATCGGTCCCTGGTCCACTTCTCGGACAAAATGGATCATATATGCTGAAAAGCTACCTACGTACCGAGTTTTAAGCAAATCGGACCGTAAAAACGAATAGAACGGTCCCTGGTCCACTTCTCGGAAAAAATGGACCATATATCCTAATATATGCTAAAAAACTACTTATGTACCGAATTTTAAGCAAGTCGGACCATAAATGCGATTTTTTGGAATAGATCGGTCCCTGGTCCACTTCTCGGAAAAAATTGATCACCTATGCTAATACATGCTAAAAAGCTATCTGCGCACCGAATTTTAAGCAAATCGGACCGTAAATTCGATTTTTTCGAATAGATCGGTCCCTGGACCACTTCCCGGAAAAAATGGGTCATATATGCTAATATACGCTAAAAAGCTACTTACGTACTAAATTTGAAGCAAATCGGACTATAATAAGATATTTTCGAATAGACCGGTTCCTGGTCCACCTACCCGAAAAAAAGTAAAATTTTTTTAGCCTAAAACATGGTGGTTACCGAAAGCTATTTGTATACAAAATTTCATGAAAATCTGACCAGCCGTTCGCGAGATTACCTGTTACAAAAAAAAGGGACTTCTCTTTATATAATTAGTATAGATTTGAACAATTCCACATAACTTTTCCAGTGTTTAAAATCCTGGTTATGCCACTCATGGTTATTAATCTAAAAACATCATAACCTTAGTAAACAGCTGTTTATGAAACGTGGCGTTGCCGGACTTGCACATCACGATTTCATGAAATGATGCCGAATTCATGGTCAACTTTCGTGTATAACTGAATTCATGAATTGGTGTTTATGCAGCCAATTTTAACCCAAATTCATGGAATGAATTTTTGAATTAGCCTACGCATAAACGTAGTAATATATGTGCCAAATTAATTTATGTGACTATCAATATTGATTTTAGATGAATCTTTTAGGTTTTTTTAAGAAAAACTTCCAAGTTTTAAAACAAGTTTTACTAGGATGGACCCTCAAAAAACAAAGAAAAAGTCCATTAAGTTGTTTTTAAAAAGTATACAGAATTTGCTTCTTTTTATGTACGTATTTTATTTGTTTGTATTTATTTCATACAAATTAATTAATTAATAAAAAATATCTGTATTATAACACTGTTCAACAGCATTTTGCAGAGTAACAGTGCTATATTTCTGGAAGAAGTTATCATGTTTATCATTTTTAATGAGACGATAATAGGTCTTTCTTTGTACAAAGCAACATTTCCTTCTACATCAAAGCTCTATGTGGCTGTTCTAGAATTTGTACTTTTGGCATTTTGTCTGATGGCCTTGAAATACAAAAAGAAAGAAATTTAGACGCAAATCAATTTCTTTCGGAATATACCATGGTCATTCTGATAAAAATTAAGAGTATATACTAATTTGTAAAATTGTTTAAATAATACGTTAGGTACTATGAGCCGTCAATTGAAAAACTCGGATTTTGTCGCGCTGCCCAAAAACAATTATTTTTCCAGATGCTTTCCAGTAAGTCGATTTCTTGATGTAGTTATTGTGGCCCCAGCTTTTGAAAATAATCTCTCGCATGGTACGGAAGTCGCAACTATATGTAGATACATGCGCGCCTATTTGTATAACATTGGATAGGTTGATTTTAAATCCTCCCATTCCTCTAACGCAGTGATTCCCAAGGTGGTCCAGGTGGACCCCAGGGGTCCACGGAAGACTCGACGGGGGTCCACGGTGACGTGAACAAAATATGAGTGGTCCACGAAAATTTATCTGGTTTCGATGTAAAGAACCAAAATGGTTGCTTGATTGCCACTTATTTAATTTAAATTTTTTTGAATGGTGTATAGTGCTCTTGACGCACTGCGGCACTTACCGGCACTTTGTGTTTTCATACGTGGGGAAGCCTTAAAGGCCACCTGCAGACTAAAAAGAACCGGATGCTGGTATGACAATGAGTGGGGCGCGGCGAAAATTGCTGGCGGCAGAGATTTAAGCACTTGTGTATTTTCAATGCTACAGGATAGTACGCCACCATTAACTTTGTTGAAAAGATTCTATAATGTTGAGTTCCCCGAGGCTGAATTCTGGTTTGATTCCATCGCTGAGACCAGACTCACATATTGTCGAATCTTCACTGATGGCTCCAAAACTGACTGGGTCATGATCTGGGGTCTTTTTCGAGGTTAATGGAGATAAGCTTCACTTTTCTGTAGGGGAATATGCTTCGGTCTTCCAGGCTGAGGTAATTGCAATAGTCAAAGCCATGGACTATATGGTGGAACATAGGTGGAGGGGAAGGAGTTTACGTGATAACCAAGCTGCACTTAAGGCATTGACCAGCCCTCTATTTAAGTACTTCCAAACTAGTTCGGCAATGCAAGGCTCGACTAAAATATGATGGTGAACATAACGAGGTTGTTTTACTCTGGGTGCCAGGTCACTCTGAAGTACCTCGTTATAAGACATCTGATCGGAACAAATGCACAATACCTACAAATCTCGAATTAAAAAAAAAAAAATAGGATCGATAGAGATCATTGAGGTAAACATAGCGGTATATATATCTTTTTGGGGAAACAACAACTACAACAATTATTAAAGGTCAAAGTTCAAATTAAGCATTTTTTTTAATTAACATTTCTCGAAAACCTCTTCAAGGAATTGGGCAATTTTGATGTCATTTGATAGAGAGTTTAATTCTCTTTAATTTGATATACATATTTATACATATACCTTTTTATAGTTTTCACAAAAATCTAATTAATGTGTGTATATGCGTAGGCGGCCTTCGGCCGCACTTATGGATTATAACCCTCATAAAGTAGAATTCTCTTTCTGTGTTGCGAAGAAAAGGCGCTGAACACCTTTTGCAGAGAACACCTTTCTGCGTAGGCGGCCTTCGGCCGCGCTTATGGATTATAACCCTCACAAAGTAGAATTCTCTTTCTGTGTTGCGAAGAAAAGGCGCTGAACACCTTTTGCAGAGAACCCACCGAAACCAGAAAATTTTTGAAAGGGGTCTACGAGAAAAAAAAGTTTGGGAACCTCTGCTCTAACGGATTGCATTTTAAAGAGCAGACGGGGTTTGATAAATAAAGCTACAACTCATCACCTTTTGTAGAGCGTTTTCGTTTTTGTCCAATCGCAAGCTTTTTATATTGGTACCAAAAGTCAAAATCTTCTTTAACAACGTCTTCTTCGGAGCTGGTATTAGCACCTTTTTGAATACGACTTTTTAGTTTAAAAATTGCCCGACCGCAGGCGTTCGCATCTTGAAGCGATGATCGAGGATAGTTCTTAAAGCTGCGTAGGTGTTGTATTCAATGAGACCAAATCTTTTACTACACTCCGCCAGGAGTTTCGTTTGTAGTTGGGTGACACAATCAAGAGTTGTAGAAAATTTACTCACTTGAGATGTTAGGCAGTTAACCATAGGTATGATCTTGGAAAGTGTGACATAATTCTGTCCTGAAGATTCTTTGGTTACGAACTCGAAAGGCTTCAGTAGCTGAACTATTTGCTTCAGTATTTCTATTTAATTTTTTGCTATCATTTCAGGACTGCCTGTGGCATCAAGTATAAGTTGAGACGAAATTTTGGACATATCCAAAAATCTTTCCAGCATGTAAAAGAGTGAATTCCAGCGCGTTCTAACGTCTAGGATGAATTTCTTGGTGCATCCTTCGGGAACTCTTGCTCGATCCAATTTGCAGGTTCATTCGCTACGAAAGAAATAGAACGCGTGGCCATTTTCGTCGAATTGTCAAAATTGGCGTCACCCCGACGTTGGCGCCTTCTTACGGTTTTCATTGGCAACTAAACTGCCAAAATTTTTTAACTATTCACAAAGAAATGAGATTAAAAAATAAAAGTCCGGGAATTGTCAATGAATTGGGGTTTCGATACAAGTACTTTTTTCCGATACCTACTCAGTACTCGGTTCAAAAGTATCGAGTACAAAATTACTTGGTATCGGACGAAAAGTATCGATTGTGTACTAGGGTGGGTCAAAAAAAAAATCAAGTAGTTTTTTTTCGGATCCGACACACGAAAACTAGTTCCTAGGTGCCTCTAGAAAGTACTTACCAAATCTGAGCTTTTAATATTAACGGGAAGATTATGCTCATCACAGTTTTCCATTTTCAATTTAGTCTCATATTAAAATGGTCATATCTTATCACCAGGGAACGGATTTTTAGGACCTAAAAACCTATAAAAAAGGCAAAATAAAATAACGAAATAGGCTGGAAAAGGCAAAATAAAATAGCGAAAAAGGCAGGAAAAGGCACTAGGTATTGCAAAAAAGGCAAAACAAAATAGCGAAAAAGGCAGTAAAAGGCACTAGGTATTGCAAAAAAAGCAAAATAAGGCACTAAAAAAAGACAGAAAATACGAAAAACAATCAAAAAATACATTTACATTTGCACTTTGAATCTTTGACTATTTTATCCGTTCGAGTTTCTAACTCATAAAACTTTAATCCGTATAGTTGTAGTAACATTGAACCACAAGATGCATTTTGAAGTTTTCTGGCAGCATTTTCATTCAATTTTCGCGAAGAAAAGCCTTGAATGTACTAAATGTGCGCTCGACGTAAGTTGATACAAGTGGAGCCCAATTTAAATATGGAACGTTAGAAACGTTCATAATATCAGGAATAATGGCGTTTTCCTCGCCCTTTACAATTTTATCCACACCCCTTATTGTCTCCAAGCCTACGTTAGATGAGAAAACGGCTTTGAATTTTTCCAACACCATTTTGGCAAGAGGTCCCTGCGCTTCTATAAGCCGCACGGGCATCTGTATATTTTTTAATCTTAAAAAAAAAATTGTAAATGCTATAATCACTTTTTTAAAGGTAGAAAAGGCCAATATCTTAAAAAAGGCAAAATCAAATGTGTATATATGGAATCAGGGAAAGCTAAATCGTGGACATTCTTAATCGAATATACTCTATCTCTTTAGCAGAAAAAAAGGCAATTTCCATAAAATCCTTTCCCTGCTTATCACCAATAGATCGTTAAACCAGTTGCATCATCAATATTTATAGGAAATTGAACGCTCTACAAAAATTGTCTCATATACTCTTTTTATTAATCTAACCATTTAAATGATATTCAAGGTCAAATATTGATGTATTTTAGGGAAAATAACTGTTTGTTTTGAATTTTGTAACTTACTAAAAAATAACTATTGTCAAATGAGTTTCAATTATTTCTATAGGGAATTTAACGCTCTATAAAAAGGTCTCATGTTGTTAATCGATTACTCTAACCATTTAGAAGATATTCCCAGTAGAACTCCAATGCCTACTGATTTTAATCGTTTTTTAATAAATATTTCCAATTTATCCATTTAATTTATGAATTTTTACAATATTTATGAGAATTTGAGTTTTATTTGAGTAATTTTAGCAATTAAATTTTCAATCAAGTCAACACAGGTCCACAGACACAAAAATTCAAAAATTTTTGATTTGGCTTCTGTTGCTCTAATAAAGACCCCCTCTCCCCTTATTAATTTTTCTTTAAAATCTATAATGTACAGACATCGCCCTGTTGCAATTTTATTATTATTTAAAATGTGATTAAATTGAACTATTATGCATGCTTATATATCGTCCCGCTTCCCGCATTGTCCCGTAATGGAGCTTTCGCATGAGGCGATTTTTTAGGCAGCTTCTGCGTTCAACTCACGCAGGGTTGTACGAAAAAAAATTGAATGGCTAAAAATATCAAAATAAAAAAAAATATCAAAATATTCGCCATAAAAAGGCGTTTGCATTGTTCAACTTTGCATTCTACTTTCGGTTGAACGGCCTTTCCACTAATCGCTTTCAACAAAGTTGGTTGCCAGCCAACATTTAGCCATTCAACTTTTTTTCGTGCAACCCTGCGTGAGTTGAACGCAAAAGTCGAACGCAAAATCGCCTCGTGTGAACACCTTTTAATGCTTCATTGTTGCAATATTCTGTGACCAACAAAACTTGTTGTTTTCTGACATCAATAAATCTAAAAACTGGGTTTATAAAGATGAATTAATCTGTAAAGTAAAAAAGAAATTGTTTCTGAATGTCGATGGTCCTCTGCAATAACAACACAATGCAGTCATCTTCATTCATTCGTCGTTCTCCAAAATTATGAAAAAATGTTTGGCCTTCATATGTCGATTCAAATTTCCATGAGGACCATCAACGATGCTTATGGAAATTCGGCAGTGCCTGCATCCCATTTCTTTTCTTCAATTTTGCCTTCGAAATGCGACCCAATTGCGCTTCGTTTTGGCATCTGAAAGCGAATGTCTTTTGTCCCAAAAACTCAACTCAAATATTTCCTTTTTTAACAAATTGCACTCAACAATGTAAAACATAGAAATTCAATGAAATAAAATGCCTCCTTAGCTCGAATTCCGATCAGTTTTTATACCCGAGCGCATGTGTGGCCAAGGGTATATTAACTTTGCTCACATAACGGTTCTTTGTAACAGCTAAAACGAATCGAGATAGATATAGACAAATGTATACATAAATGCTCAGAATGAAAAAAAGAAATCGATTAAGCCACGATAACTCGAGAAAAAATTGAGATATCCAAGGTAGGTTGGTATTGAAAATGGGCGAAATCGGCCCACTTCCCATATAACGGTAATTTTCAGAAATACGAAAACTGCGATATTTTAGTAACTACTGAAGATTATTCACTCAAAATTGATATTTACAATAATTTTTAGACGAAAAATAAGAACATTATAAATTTTTGGAAAATGGTGGTAGCCACGCCCACTTTTGGTTATATGTGTATATCTTGGTAACCGCTGCACCAATTTCTTCCAAACTTGGCACAGTTATTGGCCTAGGTACAGCATACCAAATGGCCGAAAATTTTTAATATCGGACAATAACCACGCCCATGGGATAGCGGTAATTTAGAGAAATACAAAATCTTCGATAAATCAGTAAATATTTAAGCTAATTTATTCAAAATTGATGCTTGCAACAACTCTTTACCAAGAATTACGTCTATGATAAAACTTTGGAAAATGGGCGTGGCACCGCCCACTTATGATCACATATATGTATCTCGGTAACCGTTCTACCAATTTGTACCAAACTCGGTATGGTTATTGTGCTTGCCACATAAAAGCAAAACGTTGAAAATTATTGAAATCGGACTAACGGATATAACGGTAAATTTCAGAAATGCTTGAAACTTCAATATTTCGAAATTTAAGGACGCTAATTTACTAAAAAATTGATACACCCCGGCTTACCATGTAGCGGTAGCTTTCGAAAAGGTGAAAAACATATATTTAAGACTTGCGCCGGGTATCAGTGATCGGACTTCTACCACATTATGGTAGATCTACCACTTTTTGGAGCATCCACCCCACCACATCTACCACACAAGGTCTGAAATCTACCACATATTCGCATTTTTGAGTAGTTATAATTTAACTCCACTTCATTTTCTTTATTTGTTTTAATTTTAAGAGAAAAAATTGTCCAATATTAAACACTATTGGTTGGTTTTTTCCAACTCAACTTAACTTAGTTTAGCCACTTTTTGGACTTAAGTCAAAAGTTAGCCTACGTTTTACACAGATTATTCTTGACTAAGTCAAGTTGAGTTGGAGAAACCAGCCCTTAGTGGTAACAAGAACGGACACGATATCGAACCGAATGTATCGATATAGTACTCATTTAAAGTATCGCTGTAAAAATATCGGGTACCCATTAATATCGTAATAAAAAGACTCGATATTCCAAATATCGATACAAAATTCAAAAAATTAAATCTTAATATTGGTGTCATTTTCTATTAAATAATTAACTCTTTGCACTTTAATAAGTACATCACTGAAGGCACGCCACATACCAACCTAAGATAGTACACGTACTGCGCTTTAAAGCGCAAAATATATCCATATTGCTTTACATATAAAATCCAAAGTAAGTAAAGTTATAGTACGATATAGATTTGCAAGAAATGGAATGTTTAAAAACAATATTAAATAACAACAAAACTTTACATTTTGGAATTTGGAAAATTAACTTTAAATATTTCAAATATTACAACAAAAAGTTTTATACAAATAGTCTTGCCCAATTCCCAGAGTTTTGACGTTTTCATTTTATTTTCCAATACTTTGTCACATTAACTTTGTAAAGTACATTTACGATTCGATACGATACAAGGGTTCTGGTACTCGATTCCAGAAAATATCGTTTGGAAACTTTCGAGTAAAAAGCATTGGTATCGAATGGCAAAAATATCGATATGGTATCATATCGTATCGAAATTCGTGTCCCTAATAACAAGAATGATAGTATACAAGATTTTGCATTCCCGGCGGCGATGAGATTTCTCAATTAAAAGTAAACAAAGCCGAATGGGAGGAGAAAAGAAACTGTCAAACAGTGAATTTTCTCAATTTCTCAAAATAAAATTTTTCTTCGGGGAACGTGATTTTATTGTGTTAAATTGCAAAATATATGATTTATAAAAAGAACTAATAAAGCAAATGTAAAAAATCGGCGACTTTTGTGAAAGTATTAGCATCTAAAGTTTTCAACGCGTTGTTTACTTTTACTTGAGGATTGTCAAAATTGGCAAAACCCAGGTTAAAAGTTTTTTCTAGACATTCGAATTAAAAAGTTTTCAGTTAAGGTGAAACTTTGCAATCTTTTTTTTTTTAATTTTTGCCAAAAGGTTTATCCGAAACCTGAGATCTACCACATTTTTTCTAAATCTACCACAATTTTTCCAGAATCTACCACACAGAATATTTATTAAGTCCGATCACTGCCGGGTATTTAATGTTCGGCTCTGCCCGAACTTAGACTTTCTTACTTGTTACTGTATGCCCTTACAACGAAAAACGAGATGTCAT